GCCCCCGGCCAGGGGGATGCTGCGGTGGGCAGAGGGGAGGGAGATGCCGTCCCTGGGGGTGACAGCCCCCTGCCTCCCTGCAGCACCGACCTGGTCCCCGGTAGGATGCCCCCAGGAGCCTGGACAGAGGCAGGATGGGACCCCATGGGGCTCAGCAGGTACCATGGCCCCAAACCTGCCACCTCCTCCGGCTCCTGGCACGGTCCTGCCTGCTGAGCAGTCAGCAAGGGAGGGCAGAGGGGGCGCAGGCAAGGTTGTAGAAAACCCGTTTATTTTACGAAAACATCTAGAAAAGAGCAGGCGTTGCAGCCCTCGGATCAAACAGGTCCCCTGGGGTGGCGCGGGGCTGTGCTGCAGCCCCAGCCCCACGCGGGGACCCGTCCCCAAGCCCTCCACCAGCACCGTGCTCCCGGTGCTGGCACCTCCCTCTCCCCCGCGCTAGGCTGGCTGCTTCCACAGGAACGTCTGGATGGAGTCACTGGGAGCCATGGCCTCAATGAAGCCAACCCGTGGGTCCGAGATCCCAAAGGACACGTCCACGGGGGAGCTGTGGGGATGCAAGAGGGGGTGCAGGTCAGAGGGGGCAGCCGGTTTTTGAGCCAGGGCGCAGGGTTGAGCCACTCACCGGTTCAGGACCACCAGGACGACGGCACCATCTGGGCGCAGGAAAGCCGAGTGCTCCAGGTCACACCGGCGGCACTTCTTGGAGACAGCCAGCCCCACGCGCTGCGAGCCCTCGGGGATGAACTTGCTGCAGGGATAAGTGGGGCCTGAGTGTGGTGGCCGAGGGGCCGCAGGAGCCGGTAGCCCCTTGCCGGCCTCCTCCCAGCCCCCACCCACCTGAAGTGCCCCAGGTGGTAGAACATGGGCTGCTTGTAGAAGACATCCTTGCTGCTGTCCACGATGACGGGGCTGTCCACATAGTTCTTGCTCCAGTTGGGGCCCCCTTCCAGGTCCAGGGCCAGGTTCCAGTCAGTCCAGCCCGTCACGTAGTTGTTGAGGTTCTGTGGGGCAGGTGATGGTGCTGAGCCATGGGCGGGTGAAGGGGGTGGCTGG